CCTCTATGGTGTTTACATTTTAGCTTTTCCAAGTAATAACTGGTCATTAAGTCAATGAGATGTGAGAACCGAAAGTCCTGGAGACTAAATTAAAGTTCACTTGGTTTATAACTTTTCAGGTATTTGGTTTAATTTATGCATTTGTTTTGCATCTTTTTTTTTTCCATAGTTCTGTAAATTTTGGTTTCAATGTTTTATAATATCTAGCAGTAAGTTTTTGGGAGGGTGATAGTGCTGCTGCTTTCATTATTGTACCTTGAGTATTTTATCCTTCTCTTGGAGCAGAATGGGAATATTGCTACTAATCACTGTTTCCAGACATGCTGAAAAACTTTTGAAGGGGATGTTGGTGTTTGTTCACAACATTGATTTTAAGATCTAGAGTTAAAAAGTGACTGGTGAGAGTGCACAGAAGATTTGACCCAAGTATTTAAAAATGGTCTTTCTTGCATATCAATGTGGCATAGTGACAGCCAGGAAAAATGAATGTGTTCTGAGCTTTGATTGATTTCAGTTTAGCTGTTCTATAGAATGAATTCACTTGAGTAAAACTCCACTAATTTGATAGGTAACCCAGAGTTTAAAGCAGTTTGTGGATACTTACAGGTATTCAGTTGTTGCTGAACAATAAAATTAAACATGTTTTCTTCCTGTGGTATCTAGGTCTTTTTCTTCCTCTTCCTATCCTCATCAGACTAAATGTCTTTATTTTTCTTCATAGATTGAAATGCTAAGGAAGAAAGTAAAAGAAAAGGAATTATTTATAATACAGCTTTTAGAAAAAATCTCTTTCTTAGAATGTGAGGTAAGGCATTACCTTTTAGGTTTTTATTATTGTGATTATTGAATGAAACCAAGTAAAATTTGAACCAATGTCATCTCATTTTATCTGGATGCATATTTACTATATGTACTTGCTGTTCTCAAATGGAAATTAAACTTACAACACCAGTGACATGTAGAATGTCTCGATATTCGTGCTGAGTTTCCTAACTTACAATTTTATAATGGAATCATAGTGACTTAAACCAGAAGCTTCTGAATAAAACTGTTGGTTCAATTTATAATTTTTTTAGAGAATTAAGGCTTCGTTTATTTTTCAATAAATACTTTTACATTATTTCTTCTGGGGAGAAGGTAATGTGCAACTTTATTTCCTTATTTAATTCACAAAATTTAAATAAAATAAACTTGTGGTGAAAACTACTGTTTTTCAGAATAAAGAATTACAAGATAAACTGGACTACTTAATGGAAAACCAACCAAAGACCAATATAGAAACCAGAGATACTGGTGTAGAATGTGATCTTCCATACAGGTATTTACTTCTTCTGCTTGCTTGTAGGAAAGTTCCTCATAATGTCCCTTATTAGTCCTGTATTAGTAAACCATTTTGCTGATAAACTGTTAGAGTGGATGGTGGGGTTTAAAAGAGCACTTCCATCCTAGATGCAGTGTACTTCAGTGGCTTATGGTTTAGGATTTATTATTTCTTTTAAAGATGCAAACACATTGCAAACCCTTGGGGAGTACTTATTTACAATAATGGGATTTAAGCAGGGAGCAAAGCTACAAGCCCGAGCTCTGCCTCTGTGAGCTCTGGGAAATGCTGATGCAGTGTGTCTGCTGGCAGTGCTGCAGAAGACACTGGACAGCTCTACCTGAGGCCAGTCAACGCTGGCTTCATGCACACCTTGCTCTGTGGGCCAGGAGGTGTGACCAGGGCAGGTAAACACAACAGGAACAGTTATGGGCTGCAGCAACTGCTGGGGATCTCCTACCTCTAGGCAGAAGATTGCCAAGTCAACAGTGTGGGAACATTACCACCTCTGCACTGGAATGTGGTCGGTGGTGCCCAGTGGCTGTGCAGCTGGGATTTGTAAAGATCCAGGTGCCTGCCCTTCTCCTCCTCCCCTTTCTCCTCCTCCTCTGAGCGCTGCAACAGGGTTGTGCTGCACCCTGGGAGATCTGGGCTTGCACTTGAATCTTCTCCCCAAGTCACCACAGGAAAGGGCAAAACAGAAGACAAAACAGTAAGATTAGGAGGAGCACTGCACATCACACTTGTGCATCCTAACTGCCCTGCAAATGGAATAATTTAGGCTGAGGAATGTGAATAAGCATAGGAAATCAGCAAGATGACAGGAAATCAGCAAGCAAACTAAAATCTCCTTCATAATCTAAAAATACACTAATTTCGAGTTCAGCCTAAACCTTAAAGCCAAAGTTTTTCACTCAGAGTGCCAACAGAAACCTAGCTGTTGTCCTCTCTATATGCAAGCACAGCCCCAATTTACCTGATATTTTTCCTGTTTTTGAGATTTCTCTCTATGTGGAAATGTTCCACTGTGCAGTGTAGATTTCACTGAATTACATTCACTCTTCACAGCTGATTGTGCTGTAAATTGTAATGTTGCTGTCTTTTTCAGTGCAGGATGCTTAATGCTAGGAGCTACTGCTGAACATTCCACTATGAGCTCCAGCAAATGCCTACATGTAAACGTGTCACTGACTGCCACAGGTTTTAGCCAATATTCTTTGTGGCATTACAGAAAAGAAATATGGGACATACCCAATACACTGATTGGTTTAATTTTAGCCTGTCAGTATCAAAACAAGGCAGAAGTTCATTGCCATGGCATTTTGAGCCCAGCTGTGACTCTGACATTAACTCTGTAAGCCTTTTCTTGTCTCCTTAGCAGTACAGGTACTGAGAACAGAGCTCCTGAAAGTCCGAGGCCGGTGAGGACGTACACCCCGTTCAAGAGAGTGTTGGAATTCAGCACAAAGAACAGCACATCTTGAGCAGTGGAGTCATTGTGCTTTCCAAACATGAGCAGATACCTTGCACCTTTGCAGCTTGATTAGATAAACTTTCATCAATTCCTAGAAAAGAACAGCAGCATGGAGTCTTGCTAAATTTATCCTGAAAGCAGCTTTTTAGTAACTTGGTACCTGGAGTTACTACTGACGTTACCTGTGAGGGGGATACGGAAGAAGCAGGATGAGTGAAACAGCAGTCAATATTGCTTCTTTAGAAGCTGTCTAGTGCAGTGTGTCATTTCAAATACCTGTAAGGAAGGAGCTGTATAGCTGTACAGGTTTTGTTTTTCTTCAGTCGTGCTGTAGTTCTGTTTGTGTAATGAAGCTGTAATGTATTTTATTGTCAATACTCCTAGAAGCTGTGCTGGCAGAGGGCATTAGTGTGAAAGCTCCTCATCTGTCCATGTGCAAACTGTGAGAGGATCACACCTCTCTGAGGGACCTGGTTTGGCTGAGGGCTCTCTCCACCTGGGCGAAGCTCATTTGTATCCAACATGCTTTTCCTGGGAGGGAGAGATGCAACTGGGCTATTTCAAACACTTCTCTCAACACATGCAGATGAATGTTGTGGTTTTGCTCAAAATAGTAAGCAATAGAGCAGATTTTAATGGAATTTGCTTTGTTGGATTGAGGCACTGGTTTGTAATTCCTCAGTCAGAGGATAGAGTGACCACTAGTGTTACATTCAATAGTAATTGTAGGAAAATCCCTGACACTTTATTTATTTACTGTCCCAACATAGGAAGGAGCTTTCATTAAACAGAATTTTGCCTACTGCAACCTGCAGCAGTCCCTGCAATTCCTACAGCAATAGCAATCCTGAGTCAGGATTTTGGTTTTTGAGTACTATATTTTTCCAAAAGCACACGAAATCTTATCCTTGGCTTCA